TTGATTCTTTCGTTTTTGAGAGGGAAAAAAAGGCTCAAATCCACAGCTCACTGCAAAGGGATTGAACGTGCTCCAAAACACATGCAAGGTCTTTTGTTCTGCACTCCAGTTCTTTTGTTTCACCTGCTGTACCACTCATTACAGGGAGCTTTACCTGTCAAATAGCATAGCCTCTCCATATTTGATAACTTAAACTGTATTTAATTACCGCATACCCTTTCACTTGAGGAGAGGCTGGGAAATGAGACACATGGGAAGCAAAAACACTTTCTGTAGTCTGGAAACTTTCTGTCACAGTAACTTAAGCACTTTGAAGAAAGTTAGTACTCAGCCTGTCAGGTTTATATTTGCTTTTATCATTTCTGCATTTGAATCTATTCATTATGTTTTGCATTTAGTTTTTATGTCAGCACGTTATGAAGATCATAAAAACAAACACTAGGTATAACATAGCTAGAGCTAACATAGATCAATGTTTTATTTTAGCAATGGTCGACATGACTACACTTGTATAATCAATAATAATTTGTTCTTATAAAACATAGACTGTGCATAAAGATGGACAACGACTGTTCACTTCTTTCTACTGTGTGAAATCGGAGCCACTGATATGGGTGCTCCCATCTCGACCAGGTGACATAATTTGGGGCCAGAGTCTGCACAGTAGTCATCATGGAGTTGGACCACAAAAGGCAACTGTCAGCAAAACAACTCTACCATAACAATAGCACTAGCGGCTGCCTAATGAAGGGAGTGAAACATTTGTCGGCTAAATTTGCCTTGTATTTCTGGGAATTTCTGATATTTCAGAAGTTTATAGATATAAATAATATATTATAGAGTCCAAGACCTAAAAAGAGGATTGATGCTGAACTTACAGCATGGAGGCCAGAAACATGATTACAAATTAACACTGCCTCTAACATAGTTTGTCCATCAAATAGAACTGACATTTTTATTTTCTGACTGTAAAATGTCCAGATGAGTAAATACATTTGCCACAAAAACAAAATAAGGGTATCGTATATCTGTCAGTAGATTATAAATTAGAATTAATAGGTATATATCAAATATGTGGCTAGAATCTGTTGCATGACCCATTGACCTTTCCCCTGGAGCCATGAATCATACTGACAACAGCCAAGATCCACATTCATGCTCCCAAGAGGGTGAACCCTTTACATGCTGGAGACTTTGTTAAAGTTCATAAGCCATGTCATAAAATAATAGCCTAACACATTCAGGAGATGATTGCTCTCTGTGAGGTAGATGCAGCCACATAATAACAATGATTAAATTCACCTCCCTTACAAATTAATTACTTTGGCACTTTCATATTATGGGGTGTAAGGCGAACTGCTAGTCTTGTTGCATAAAACTCTTGCTGATTATAGCTTTAGGAATAAAAATCTGATAGTGCCACATGAAAACATTCCAATCATTTCTGTACCACCTATCAACATTATTCCTTCCAGTTCTCCTGTCTTCTTCAATCAACCCTTTTTGCACCCCTTACTTCCTGTAACTCACATTTAGCAACTAGAGGTTCAGCTCTGCACTGCCTTTCTTGCATGTGTCTGTGCTGTCAACACTTTCTAAAGATATCACCTCCACTTTACCACTAAGACCTCTCCGCACCCGTCAGCCACGGTCCACAGCGACTGCGCTGCAATGCTAAAATTAACCCTAAAACAAGAGGTTCTGATTGGCAATCTGACAAGAGTGCTGAACACGGGATCGACTGAGAGGGGGCACACAAGCAGATTTTAAAAGACAAAAGGACAAATTAAAATAATGAGGCTCAGGCCAAACTTCACTCAACCCAAAGCTGAGGACACTCAGGACTCCATAATACCCTGGTCTTACAGTGGAGTTCTGTAGTAAGCGCTGGATCATTAAACTGCCACAGAGGCTTCTCTTGTGCAGACTCACTGCAGGTAGAGTAGAACTTCCACCAACAGACAAAGTCAGTGCTCTGCTGACGATACCGACATGTCCTCCTTTTTAGATATAATAGAAAAACTCATTAACTCACACACAATATCACACCCTGCTAACACATACACCACAAAGCATTATTTACTCCCAGGGGCAACTAAATTCATTTTAAAAGTTTTTAAAAGTTGCAGGCCCCAGGCATACGATTTCAAGTATTTTAATCATTAGAAAACCCACTCAACTATTAAGTCGAAACACAGGTTCCAGTCTTTTGACATTTCCAAAGTGGCGATTGCGAGATGTGATTTGTGATCTCGGAATCATTCACTATCAAATACGAGTTCAGGGCAAACGGAGAGATGGACAGTTGTCGTCAGCTGGTTACATGTTGGGTATGTATACAATGGTTTTCACCAAAAAAACAAACACAAGAGAAACACTGTGGATCAGGTCATGTAGGGCAGAATTGGTGGATACATTCTGCAACATGAGCTGGAGGTGAGTCTCAAACAGGAAGCTAACACTATTGTGATCATTAGAAATGAAATTACCATTCTCTGACCTTCCACTGTCATGGAGATACATTTTATATTAACACTGATCAGTGTCTCTGTGCTGCCTTACACTCAGCTCACTCTCGTTAGGTTTTCAACTCAATGTTCAATTTCTGTTCATTTCACTCTACTGGATTTCAATTTCAATTTCAGTGAATACCAAACATGTTTAAGATTTACGATTGGAACACTCATCCAGTCAGTAACATTAAGATTATCTCTGTAAATGCCTTGCTACAGGATCATTTGGGCAGATAACCAGACCGACCTCGAATATGGAACAACCTCGCAGTTGTCGTGAGAGGCGTAAACAACCAAAAATGTGCCAAGTTATCATCCAGTGTGGGGCTGGCATTAGCAGTGGTGCCAAGACATGCCAAAGAAAGCAGTGTTTCTATTAGTGGCATTCAAATAAAGAAACCTTAAGATCTTCCTATTATTTGACCCTAATACAATCAAATCCAGATCTTTGCTGATCAAACCCGTAGATTAGAAGAATCTGTAAGGAATTGATCCTTTCCTTTGCTTTAATCACGGATAGTAAACATTAAGTATCATGCGACATTATCAGCAATCTATATGCTTGATTTAAACATGTGATCCTCCACCGATCATCTTGTAAATCACAGATCCTTGATTATACAAATAATCTTTATCCTTGATTGTGACAGACTTTTCATTTAGTGGATGGTACGCTGACCATTACTCAGGCGATTTGCAGGTCAAGGCTCCGCAGGATTACAGAGCGTTAAACGGCTCGATGAGTGGACAGCTGAACCGACTCACTGCCGCAGCAACTCAAGAGGGGGGTGGGAAAAGAGTCAGTAGATCTCTGAAGGAAACAGATCTCTCGGACTCACTCAAGCTGTCTGATTATACATCTGTTTAATGCAGCTGAATTACAACCGGCCACCCCAGAATATCAGCCTCGCTCCGGATCGGATTGCTGCGCTGAATCTGTGCCATGCCGACTGAAATCTGGTCAATACAGTGAGCAAAATCATTACGCTTTGGCCCAGGGCAAAATGTCACTCGTGCCATTCAAAAGGAAATGCATCTCGTGTTGTGATGATGCAAGCTTAAATATATGCTCTCATAAGAAGCTGTTTTTTAAATAGTATAGAGACAAGCAAATATAGTAATATATACAATTACATCTTCGCAGGCCCATTAGTGAGGTGAGAGGTTATGTGGATTCATGCATGCATGTAGGCTTTCTATTAGTTTCAAACACAAACATACAAATATGTATTTATATATTCACATGTAGTCTCTCCTTAACACCCTCAGCCCCACCTCGAGTGACCTTTTACCTCATCATGTTCTCAACGAATGAGAGTCACTGATTCTAGGATCCAGAATTAGCACTGCTATCACTGGCATGGAGAATGTTAACCATGCAGACTAGTCCAGGAGGAAAGGAGTGAGGAGCACTGGCTCAAAGGAAAGTAAGAGAAAGAAAGAGTCTGTGTGTGTTCATCTTAGTTTATCTTTTAAGAGAATCTTCCATGTGATGGCAGTGAAACATGAATATTTAAAGTATCATGATGTTATAACATTGGTCCAGAGGGGGACATAAGTTCAAATCTATAACAATCAATGTTAGTTGCAGAGCTATTTCAAGCTGGACAAAGTGACTGAGTGAGTGGGCTTCATTTTCAATTCTAGAGCTCTAAAGAATATATATATACGTGTATGTGAAAACTCTAAAGATTCAAAGGTTATCTTTGGTTTGGGGGTCATTAATCTACGCTGGACTATTAGGGCCACTTAAAAAGAAAACAAATCAGAAATATTCAGAATAAGTGATATTATGAAAAAACATTTACAAAAAATAAAGTGCAAATTTTAGACATGTTGTTTTAGAGGGGAATATCAGCTGATCAACCTGTCGTCTGTGTTTAAATGAGGAATATCGAGCAATTTTTTTGAAGTTATACTTCAGAATAAGTTTCACAACAACAATATGGTAATAATACTCATAATAATCCACTTGGAATACATGGGAGATTTTGTTGTTTGTCATGAGGCATGTTAATTGCATATGGCTAAATGACAGATATAAAAACATGCTGTAGTATCATGATTTAAAAGATTTTATGGATGTGTTGCTTGATACATCTATCATTTACCTCCTCCATTGTCATTCATTTCTTCCTCTTCACCATGACAAATTCCCCTTTTATCTCTTTAATTTCATATTTTATCTTTTTTAGTATTTTTCACCCTTCTCCCACAGTTTCATTCTCACTCTCCTCTTCACCATCTCAAACGGATTCTTTATATACAAAAGTACCCACCTCACATCTCAATCACACACATACACACACACACCAGTCACATTTGCTTCTGAGTTGCTGGTCTGACCCCAGTATGTACCATGTGTAAACCCCTGGACAGCCATTCAGTACAGTGTGTACTGGTGCTTTCTGATTTGTAAAAATGTGCATGTGTGCCCAGGGAGAAACATGTTCTAAGCATATATAAACATGTCACACATGCACTCACCGATGCAGGAGTGCACACGGACTGTCAGCTGGGTCCGGAGAATAACACTGTGCTTCTTCCCTCTGGCCCTGAGAGAGAGAGAGAGAGAGAGGGAGGGAGAGGAATGACAAAAACAGATTAATAAGTAAATTATTTATTTAAAAAATACTTTCATGAAAGTAGCTGAGTGAAGTAAACAATTTCACCGTAGCTAATGTTTCACTTCAGGAATCAAGTGTAATTTTCAAACTGATTTTGTTACTTGTGTGAAGAAAAATCTGATTTCAAAACACAATATGACACAAGGGTTTGTTATGATGGACCTTTTTATGGTGCAAACCTGTTGGCATGACGGGAATGGTGAAAACAAATGGCGGCCTGCATTAGATTGGTACCCCTATACTGATACACATCTGAGCCTTGAAGATATAGACAGCAGAACTGCCCGAGCAGACACAACACACTATACACACATTTATACACCTCTGCAAACGATCATGCCAATGAGCACACATTCATACACAGCATAATTACAGCAGAAAAACAAAATGAGTGCACATAAACATGAGGGGACAGTATGAACTATTATGAGTCAAACTCTCTCTTCTAACCTCAGCCCTTATCATCTGATCTATAGGAGCTTCCATCACTAACATGCTGATAGCATCCAGCCCAAAATGCCCTGACAACACACACGGTTGGGAGATACTTGTTATGCATAACATGAGGTAAGGATAACACAGACAAGAGAGCAGCTGGCCTCATGTCATTCTGTTGAGCTCTGTTATCAGCGTTGCTCGGAAATAGAGCAAAATGTTAACGCGATCTGTTGATATACTGATGAAGAAATTGGTCTTACTAACCAGTCGGACAATCTATTGTGTGTGGAGGACTGTCAAAGCAGAGATGCGGAGAGAGTAAAAGTGGACAATAGGAGAACATTTAAACACAGAGAGTGTATTCAACACGATCTGCAGGGATAAAAAAAAAGAGAAGCATAATCTACAGCAGTTTTCACACCATTCTTGTCCTCACTCTCCAGGGGAAGCAGACCGAGCCGTCCTGTCACCAGAGGACTTTGTTTACTGTCGGCTGTGGTGAGCAGTGTCCAGCCACAGCTGGAATCTCAACACATTTTTGATGCGTGGGAATGTAAATTCTAAGTGGAAAAGATCTTCATACCAATGTGCTGTTTATCAGACTCTGCTCACTTTTCAGTGAAAGGCAAGATTCGGTTTTCTAGTTCCTGGTTGTCAGTAAAAAACTAGAAAAATTAGGCCTAATTCACAGGTCGCCAGCGAATCAGAGGGCCAACAACATGCAAAAATAAAAAAAACATTCTCCAATTCACAAATCAATTTCAAGTCTACGCCGTTTCCAATGTCTTTGGACTGTGGCAGGAAGCCGGAAAACAATCATGCAGATGTGGGAAAACATAGAAAGAACCGGGAATCAAAGCGGAATTCAGAAGAGTAACCTTCTTGCTAAGATCGCAGCAGCTGTCAAAAACAGCCGGTGGTGTGGGTGTGGGGCTGAGATATTAGGTGTGATTATTTCTGTCATTGGTGATACAATATAAATAATGTGAGAGGAGGACAGGACAGGATCCATCCTTACACTCTATTTTTTCTGGCAAGGGGTCAAACCCAACCCGATGTATGATTCACTTCCTGCTGCCTGCACAGTGTGACCTCGCTAAAAGCTTCCGTTTGACAGACAGGCCCGTCCAACTCAACCAGTTCCACAAGGTCTCAGCCACCCCGACACACACACACACACACACACACCTTTATTCACCTGTCCATCATCTGTCAAAAGTGTCACCAGGCACAACAAAGACGCGCACACAGACAAACAAATAAATGTAGGCATGGAAACCAGCACAATCAGACACAGAGAACAAGCAGGCTCTGTGGGCCCGCCATCACTTATCATTCTACTGGTCCCCAGTCTCCAAACACATCAACATACCACACACACTGTCACAGACATATGCAGCCACTTAACTGCTGCATTCTCTGTGCACTTCTCAGAGCTCCGCATGACAATGCTGTGTGTACATAGAGTGATTTCAGGTCACACAATACTGCATGGGTTGGAGGCAATACCTGAGAACTGACCTAGTTAAACTCAACAGGACAGCCTAGTGCAATGTATCTAGCTACTCACACTATAAACTATAATGTTAATGATGTTACACTATGTCAAAATAAAGATAGATGGTTTTGACTTCTTTATTATGAAGCTAATTAGCTAAAATTAACACCGGGTCAGCAAAGCAACACATGGCTCAGTGTTAAACAACAGGGTTTACGGACACGTAGATGACACCACAGGAGCAGTATGGAGGCATTTCTGTTTTTGTTACTTCAAGCGGATGTGGCTGTAACTCTGTTTACCCCTGAGACTGCAAAAGTGTTTTGGGACTCAAACACTTCACCCACCCCTCCATCGTCAAAATGGTGAGTAGATAAGGAGTGAATTTTCATTTTTGAGTGAACCATCCCTTTAATGCCACATTGTTTGCTTATTTAATTAAAACAGCTTCTCAGTCCTACTGTATGCTGAGGCAAAGACTTATTCTATGAATAATAAACACGCTTCAAAAATAACCAGAAAAACAAACAGACTTGACTGATTGTGTTCGCCAGTTATTGCATATGTTAACTATCTGTTAATCTATATCTAGATAGTTAACATACAATCAACAATCAAAAGAATCACTAATCAAGCTGGATCGTTGTTTTGCTAAATTATCCCATAAATGTGATCATTATCATACACCTGTCAACACTAAGTTAGTGCTTCACACAGCTAATATTATACAGCTATTGTTGCGGCCTAAATCTGTTAAATTGATCACAAGACATGATACGCAGGATACAGCATGGCTCATCACTTCTGCTACAAAAGTTTCTGTGGGAAATACTGAGCCGTAGTAGCTGGATTCAATTTTCCACTTCTCCCGTTGACCCAAAGAGAGACAGCAGATATGTGAGAGACTGAAAATGATTCTCAGCAGTACTGTAAGAACGTGGTCGTGCTGTTTCTTTGAGCATCCAGAGTTGACAGGTTTGTGAACTGTGAAAATCTTGTCACAAAGACGACCAGAATAACAAGTATTATAAAAGTACAGTTCAGAGAGGGGAGCCGTTGCTGTGGAAGGGAGGGCACATCTGTCTCGCTTTCCAAAGGGCTTCATACTTTCCGTGAACTTGCGCTTCCAAGAAATCCATATCCAGCAGCTTGTGATTCTTCCCCATTTTATAAGAATGGAGAAGCTCTGAAAAACGTATGTGTGTTTGAGTCAGAGAAGAGGCGAGGGGGCTCATCACTTAAATTAATTGAGATGTTTCGACGGAGAAGAGGGGAAGTGTATGGGTGTCAAGGAGTGTGTGCGGAGATTATAAACGTGAGTCACTCTCACCCTGTGTCATCCTGCTGAAATCCCTCCAGCTCGTCCCTTTGCTCAGCCAGAGAGGACTCCAGATCCAGATAGGTGCCATTGTGAGAGAGCTGAAACGTACAGTCATCAAGCTGTGGAGAGGAAGAAATAAATCTATTAGTAATCCAAATGTATTAAATGAATGAAATGGGCCTGAATTAGGACACTGAAGATATTGAATTTCACTTAACTGAAAAACACAAAGAGAGAAGCATTATAGCTGCAGTTGCCCCCATTTAAAATTGGCATTTACATTAGGGATGGAAAAAACATTGAGTAGGAACTTGGACATCCAAGGTGGCATGTGAAATTTCCCTGGCCGTGATGTACATTGGTCTCTGGGCTCACTTTTTTAATGCTCCCACACTATGTCTCCCAACATTTCACACCCCTTTCCTTAAAAAACAATTTCAGCCCGTAAAACTAAGCCAGTTTATAGGGTAGGGGTTTGAACACGAGTGCGTACAGTGGTCCATGAAAAGTGTGTGTGTGTGTGGGGGGGGGGGACCATATGCAGTGTGGCTCTGCTTTTACCATTACAAAGCTGTTAAGTGATTTAACTACTAGAGACATTGCCATAAAGGCTGGAGAACATGAAACTAAAACCAGAGGGGGAAAGTGGAGAAAGAAAGACAGATTTTAGTGCATTTAAATACCAGCTGTGAGGAATATGACACTTAAATGTTATGAAATCACATATATGAAGCTAAAGCACGTTTAAGTCAATCACTGTCATGATATATTCCTGTTTTTCACCTCTCAACAGCTGATCAATCTCGCTCCCACGTCATCTGTGATAGTTGATCTCAGGAAAAACTGCAGAGCGGCCTACGTGTGTTAGAATTGACCCACTAATGAGAAACCCCACGTAGTTTGAGACCAGGTGCACAGAAACATATCTGCGCACCACTGGCAGCGATGTTTATGGGTACAGTCACAAGTTGATAGCAGGTGCAAGCTGCCATCCCAGGGAGAAGCTTCATTAAAAGGTCACATTATTGAAACTACCAGTGTTAAAGCTGCCGTTGTACAATTTCAGAGCCCTGAGCTAAATTAGCATTTAGCACCTCAATAGTGCCAGTGGGTTTTGACCAAGCCTGGCCTCTGGTGAGTTGCCAAACCACCACCCGCCGAACCCCTCCACCCCGTGCTGCATGACAACACTCGCTGACCAGGCGGAGACCACAGATCACAAGACCCGCTGGTGCTCTTCTGTCTGTCCCTCCCTTTCACTTGGAAACAGCCAGACGGACTGTCGGATGAACTCACAGCATAAATATAACCCTGCTATATTTGCTCTGCTCTGAGGCAGCATGCACACAGGAGCTCAAGGGTGGGAGTCGATTGGTAGGGGTGGGGGTAACCGAATCTCCAAATGTGTTTCAAATGAGAATCTAAGAAACTCGATACTGCCGATGAACTTTGCAGGACGACTCTATCGTTTATTCTTTAAGAAATCTTTACCTCTGCCAAAGAGGTTGTGTTTTTGTCTGTGTTTGTTCGTCTGTCTGATATTAAGCAGGATTACACAAAGGCTACTGTACGGATTATGATGAAACTTGGTACAAGGATGCGGTATGGGTCGGGGAAGAACCTGTTAAATTTTGTAGCAGATTCGGCTCAAGATGTGGATCCATGATTGTTTTTTCAACATTTCCATTGATTTCTCATAGAAGAATTTATGGATCTATTGCTGATGATGTTTAAAGGAATGATATCGATATAGTGTTTACATTTTGGTGCAGATCCAAATAAAACTCCAGATCTGGTGAATTTTAATGTGGTTTCATCTGGGGACTGTTGGGCCTTGGCAGAGGTATCGATCTACTGGGTAACATAAGACATTGGTACAAGTTGACATTGTAGCACAGTGTGAAAAGTTAGCCTGTGGAGGGGGACACCAGATTTCATGGCAATCTATATATTAGCTATTGACACGTTTCACACAAACAAATAAAATAAAAACACACAAGGCAAATACCCAGAGAATGACATTTCATTCTGGACCAAAAGTATTGGACGTATCTGTAGTCTAACCCTAACCCAGGTGCAACGTCACTGTTATCAATGTTCTCTCGCCAACACAGCATGTGAGATTTGGTAAATCTCAGATTGAGGTTTGAAAAGGCCGGGTGGGGACAGTGGGTTGTGTTAATCACGCCTTGTCCCACTTCCCCTGATTTTTACTGTAGGAATAAGACAAAAACATTTCCTGTGCCCAATCTGTCAGTATTATTCAGCGTTTTCATCAGTATTCCACCCATATGTCACTGTGTCCCTCATCCTTTTAGCGCGTTAGTGGATTTATCTCTCCCCTCATTCTCACCCAAAACAGACCCACCCTCTACTACCTCCTCCTCCTCTTTTTGCTGCTCCACTTTATCTTTGCCTATTACTCAATCATATAAATAAGAGGTGATCCAGGACCACTTTGAAACTCAATATGTAAACAGCTCCCCCTGCAAAGGGTGTCGCTTTGATTGGGTAATAGTAGTAGTAACATAACAAAACAGATCATGCTGCGCAAAGCCGGGACGGCGACGGCTCCAGGAGGAACCGCAAACCCTTCACACTCAAGTCTCCGGGACGAGCAAGGCAAACACTTGAGTGGCTCGTATACTTTACAATCATTTAATCAACTTCTCCCGAAGAGCAAAGCAAAGGGAGGAAAAAAAAGGGATGGTGAGGGGGAGTAATTACCTCTACGTTAAAACAACACCGAGCCTGCTGGCGATCACAGTGGGTCGACAGTTAACGATGCCCTTACGTAACGTGGATGATGAGATTTTAAGAACTTTTTTTGTGTGTCGGGATCCGAGCTGGAGGAGGATCAGGCTCTTTGAAGAGTGTGGGGGAGGGCGTGTTAAACACAGCCATTAAATCTCCCAGTGTTGCTTTAATGGAAACCCTTTGGTAATGAAATAAAAGCTAAGCTGTGGAGTCTGGGCTTTGTTGTGTTTTCTGAGGGGGAGTGGGAGTTTTCATTTATCATTTTGAGGCTTGGTGTCCAAGCTTTGTTGAGATTTATTTTTTTTAGTTTAGTTAAGTTTAGTTTAATTTAGTTCACACAACACAATCACAAAATACATAGATGAAATGTTGAAATGCCTGTGGGGTGTGGTGGAAACCGGTAATGGCTTATATGAGAACCACACCCAAATATTACAATCTTCAATCCATGTTATGCATTAGTAGTAAAGAGAAAAGTTTACACATATTACTATAACAGAAATAAAATACTGGGAGTGAAGGATATACGCTACAAATACAGATGAATAACATAATCTTCAAGACCCTTCATCGCAAATCAAATGTTTAAACAAGAGAACATTTCTAGGTCTCTTTTTGTACAAGGACAGTGACAAAGAGGAAACCAATAAATGTAAGTTTACGTTCCAAAAGATAACTTTTCTACAAAGGTAGATGAAGATTCTTAGTTTGATATGCCTGTTTTGAATGGGTTGTTCTCTTGTCCTGTGTTGATGATCCAGAGCTACTTCAGAATTATTACTTCTCATTAGTGAGTCAACGGTCTGTGGTGCAGAAAGAAGTTAGAAAACTCCATCCTACCTGGTTTATCTGTAGAGGAGATCTTATAGTAAATGTTTTTCATAAAATGAAACTGAATTTGCTTTATTATTTTTCACATATGTGGCTTATCTTTAAGTGTGAATGATTTACTGCTCGTATTTTTTCATACATTACACAACTATTCCCCCCCTTAAAAACTGTAATGTGATGATCAGCACCCCTGGCTCTGTCTCTGTCAGGTTGATGTGGTGAAATAAAAATCAGATTATCAAAATGATCAGCCAGGTCAGACATACTGGTCGCTGCTGTTGTTTACCAGAGCACATAGAAGAAGATATGTTCAACTCAGTTCACAGACTGAAGGTAGACGACAGAGCACTGTTCACCTGTTTATTAAACTTGTATTAATATTGAATGTATCACGTGTCCAAATCGCACCAAATGTGACTCTGCACTTCCTCGGGCCATAAAGAATACACATATCAGGGGTGAAGGCGATTAGATGAATGGTTCCTGAGAAATGTGTTCTAAATACAGACAGACAAAAGTTTGTAAAATTGGTAGGTTGGAACGATATTGTCAATTGTTATCAAAATTATGTCTACATCTGAGTTTTGTGTATAGGTTCATTTCTTAAAAGCTTAAAGAGAAAAATGATTATCTCTTCTATGGGAATCCAAAGGCAACTGCTTTGTTTAGAGAGTTTGGACAAAATGACACATCCCATGCGAACTGATTTAGCCTTGGCAACACAGCCTAACCTTGTGTGTGTGTGTGTGTGTGTATGTGTGTGTGTGTGTGTGTGTGTGTGCATGGTCAAGAGAGGTGGAAGAGGAGGACAGAGAGGAAGAGGTCAGGAAAACCACAGCACCCAAAAGTGAGGAGAACAAAGTGTCGCAGGGATCCAGGGCCCTGGCCACAGGAATTCTGGGACAAGTGACCTATACTTTACGTGCAGCCATACACAGAGTTCCACCATCGGAACATAATAATACAGTAGGCATCTTTCTCAGAGGAGAGCGCAGAAGGTTAAGACAAAAGAGACAGAGAATCACTATTTCAAAATAATCAAGGCATATGACCGAAAACCGAGCACTTTTGATATTTTCCAATAACATAATGACACTCAAGTCTTTTAAGCACCATCATTTAGATCTGGACAGTCCGCTGGGCAAATTTGCAAACAGTTGACTCTCATCCCTATAATCTAAGACCAATATCCCGTTGCCATTGCGCACAGTCGCTCCTCCTGATGTGGACAAAATTACAAACAGGAACACAAGCTGTGCCATCTGTCCTTGTATAGGTTGTAATCATAAGCTTTTCTGTGCTGCGGGCCATTTTTCATTTGTTTTGTGGCTTTTAAAAGATGGGGCAGCGAGAGACTTGACTCGATCTGGAAAACCACTCTGCTGTTGAACACTGGTTTGCTGTCAGAGCTCTGTGCCAGCAGCTGAACTCTCTCTGTCTCTCTGTCTCGCTCCTTCTTTCAACTGCGTTGAAAAGTCTACATTTCCAGCTTGAAGGAGAAAAGATACGGTCACACGCAGTATCTGTTCTGCTTGTAAGGCCTCTGTGGGCGTGTTTGTATGTTTGTGTGTCTGACGCAGTCTCGTCTGGGAGGAATGTGTGGTCGCTTCTTTTTTTTTAATAAATCATCCCTTAAAGAAATACTTTTACCGAATGACATTTACTTGTTGTTGTTGTTTTGCTGTTACTTATCAGATAGATACAGTCACTTTTTATTGTTTGTGTGCTCGACAGTGTGTGCAGAGCTTTTTATAAACAGTATAAGGCGCAGAGTGACGTTACAAAACTTTGTGTACATCCTACCTGGTTTATCAGCAATGAAGATTTCATAGATAAAGTTTTTCATTAAATGAAACTAAAATGAAATGAATGCTTAGATTTTGTGTAATGATTTGCCATCTTTGATTTTAGATTTAGTATCATATGATCTGCTGTTTACATACTATATTGTATTAGTTTGCTTCTTGTTTTTGATGTTTTGTATTCTTGGTTTTATTTATCCTCCATGCACTTTGTAATGACTGTTTTGAAAAGTTTCTAAATATCTCTTCCTTTCCCACATCCATCATCATCACTTGACACTTTAAATCATCTGCTATACAGGAGCATATTTTAAGTCCTGGGCTTTTACGATCGTCACCTGTGGGAACAGTGAGGCGACGCAGGATATAGTTGCAGTAATGCCTTTGCTACCACCTGTCACAGTAACATGCAAAGCAGGGAGCAAAACAATACAACAATAAACATGGGATGATTTTCCATTCAATGGCAGGGGTCAAAGGTTAGCCTCCAGGCTCAATGGCATCTCAGCAAGGCAAATGTGTGCCACTGCCAGCGTGGGATTAAATGAGGATATTTGGTCTGAAACAAGTCATGTTTGATGTCAGTGTGGGATTTGAGCAAACATTTGCAGCCTTGTGTCAGTGCAGAGCCAGAGTCACTTGTGCTCGCACGAGTTCTCAAAATAGCCTGTGAATGGCGGGTATGGAAGTTTATTTGGAGGAGGCTCGAGTGAAAACAGCAACCTTGAAGATGGCAAAGCAAACTCAGATTGAACCAGTGCATTGACAGAAATTGGAACCCAAAGATATATGTTTCTATTAAAATGTCAAAACTTCCTTTGGGATTTTAGAGATGTTGTGTGGTTTTCTGATGAGATATTAAAATGAGTATTATCTATATATATATATGTCATGTTCCTTCTCCTCTCACCCCAACCAGGCAGGTACACACTGAGTAGAAGTTTCTTCCAGTTAATGAGGGAGTGTCTTTTTAATTTAAGGTCTCGACCATATGTAAAGTAATTTCCAAATAAAACTGAAGTGAATTGAGTATTAGAGGGAACAGAGGTGAGTGGTGGGACAGGTCCTACCTTGTGCGGGGCTCTGAGGAGCCGGTGGACCCCTGCTAACTGGTTGATGAGGGGGATGTCCTCCCTGAAGGTGTACAGCGGAGGTCTGGTCGGCTCGGGGAAGTTGGTGCTGTTGAACGGATCGGTGTCGTCTAAAAACTGAACCCTGCACACAAGCGTGGCCATGGTGCATCCATGCAACTGTGGCGACGCAGAGCCGGAGCAGCTGAACCCGCTGCGCGCTCCTGGACCTCTCCCTTCTCCTCTCTCCCCCCCTGGTAACGACAACAAACCCGGGTCGCCAAGTGTGTGTGTGTGTGTGTGTGTGTGTGTGTGCGCGCCCTGTGCGCAGCCTGCTCCCTCCCTCCTGCGGGACACTGGAGGTGGTGGACGGGTGGAGGATGGTGGCACAGGGAGCCGGTGGTGGTTGGTTTCGCCTCCTCACTGTGACTGTCGTCCCGGCTCTCTGGTGCCGCTGTGTTATTCTCGGAGAGGCAGGTGGCCGGTGGTGATAAACGGGAGGAGGCAGCAGCAGCAGCGGGCGGACTGACTGCAGCTCTGTGCCGGAGAGTGAAGGATCAGCGCAGCTTGGGACAGTCTGCTGTCTGAGTCCCACTAAATCCTCCCCCACACTCCCCCACACTCCCCCATCCCGTATCCATTTACCCCTCTGCCTCATCTCTGCCTCCCCCTCCCCTCACATATCTGTGCCCGGCTTATAGCACTGGCTTCCCATATGAAACTAATCCTATAACAGCCTACATTTATTTCCAGGAACAAACATCAACATTAATAAGCGAAGGTGCCAACATACAGGCAGAATCATGAGCTCATAGAGCAGCAGAGTATATAACTTATATTTATAAAGAGAATAATTGTCTTATGAATTCTGTGGAGACATTAATAAAAAAATAGACTATTGCGATAAAAAGGTGACATATGTAATAAAAACAAGTGTGCTATTACTTCACACACCATTCAAACACACACACTTTACTTTTTGATCAGAGTAATACAGAGACAAATACTATCTGCAACAAGTTAAAGCAGATTCCTGACCTATACTGACCTCTTGTGGACAAAACTTGTAATTGCAGGTACAGTATTTATGTTTGTACCACATTTACTACAATGTCGACCAATTTGGAACCATTTTCTGTAGTAAAAAAACAACTATGTAATTAGATAATATTATTATTATTACCATTATATTACACACATATTTTACTTATTCATACTATAGGGACAATTGTTATATTACTATATTTGTAGGAGTATACTTGAATATTTAGTCAGTTACTGGTCTGAGAAGCTAATTCACTTGTGTCAATCCAAACAAGATACTAGTCTGAGAAAGATATAACTGAATTATGTCATTGTGAGGTCAAAAGATCATCAATTCGTGTTTAGAGAAAACAGAGCTAAATAATTGCGTCCCACAGCTCTATAGTTGTTCACAATCTCTACACAATCTTTATCACACCGGTGCGTAATCACAGTTCATTCCCCACATGTGGACAAGACACAGAAACCCTGGAGCCCCATGCTGCCTTCAATGTGTGAATGGGAGAATGAGAGACCAATTTCAAAGACCTTCACAGTAAAAATGCATTCCATTAACTGTTTACCACTTATTTCCACCCTTCGTCTGTGCACCTGCAAACCTCACTTGTTTGTGTGAGTAAAAGCTGTTGTGTAGTTAAATCCATGGGGGGAGTCAGTGGGGAGTGTCTGTTTGATACCACTGGAGGGCAGATAGCTGCTGAGTATCACCACTAATGAGTGAGGAGACACATGCAGTTCAACAGTGACAACCATGAGGCTTAACATGCAAACGTTTCCTCACATACCTGACAAGCGCTCCCTGCATGCTCTCTTATTGAATTACCAGATGACCAGCTGTAAAGAAACCAGGTCCTGATCCTGATGTTAATTAATATATAACTAATACATTACTAAACTTTACTTATCATGCTAATGGACACTTAAAAGTCAAAAACTGATAATGTCAGTGGCCGAGGTAATTATTATGACAACCCTTAATCACATAACAAAAAAAATGGACATTTGCAATATATACCATATTTACAGTTTACATATTCTAAACATTAAATAAAATGATGATTAGAAGATGATAATTCAGTGCATGCATACTTTAACAGATCGTATCCATTCACATATAGTGTATAAACATATGACACATGTAAATACACACATGCATATACAGTGACAGCAAACCCACATGTATATACTCTGATATATGTATAGATATAGATACACTGAATAATATCAAGTCAAATTCAAGACCTTAGCACTGAACGTTAGATTCACTGTGTGCTGTATGTGTCCTATCTTGTCTATCAGACAACCAGACATGTGAGGGTGCAGAATGACGTGTGCAGTTGCAGTGGCTTCATATATTCAGACACTGTGCTGCTGCTCTCCCTGCAGCCAGGAGGTACAGCTGAGGTTACTTTAGTGAGCAGCTTCCATAGCAACCTTTAAACATGACTCACAGGGCACTATGGGCTTTATAGGAAGTGCACCATATATCATTCACCCTTATCTGAACAGGATGCTGTAGACTTTTTTTCAGGCAAATGGAGCTCTGTTGATAATTTTAGATTTCAAACAACGTTAATAATTATGGCAATATAAGTTTAATCAGTAACAATACAACAAGGCTTCAATATCTATCTATCTATCTGTATATATAGGTCTATATAGTTCTATATATAGAGAAAGAGAGAGATAATCCTTACACATTGTCCAAGCACAGTGAGGAGAAAAAAAAACATTATTGATGAAAATGAAATGAAAATTTTTTCTGTGTATCAAGTGTTTCCCATCATCTGCTCATAAAGTTTAAAGTAGAGTTTAAAACCACAAACTTTACTCAGGAGCAAAAATCAGTCTTTGAACTTGGAATAAATAATAATTTTGTTGTTTTACTGTTTACTTTTACTTTTACTATTATTTCACCTCTTCTACAGAAACCCTTATTTCATCATTACACTGTCATACACATAACTGCATTATGGTCTGTCCTTTCATTACGGGTGTATATCTGTGTATCTATCTCTTCACTTTCTGTTGTCAACATTTCACAAGTAGAATTTAACAATCAATAAAAAAACAATGCTGACATTGACATTTATTTATTTATGACATTTATTAGGATACTATTGACTGATTTATTGTGCAGCTCCATTGGGTTTTATTCATTTGAAATGTTGCCATGTGTTGTAACTCATGAATGAAAACTTTAATAAATACATTAGAGTAGGTAAGTAGTTGGTCTGTGGTAACTTTCTCAGTGAAATAAAAACACAAGATTTTATTGACTGTCGGGTTTGTAATTATAGATTCAATCCATGTGATGTTTGTCTGAGGGGGAGGGTCACATCACGTGATTGAAGGTTAATATATCACTTGATTCAAAGAATGCACACATGTAGCTTGAAGGCAGATTGGAACTCGGTTAATAAAGTATATGACTTTGCATAAATAGGTGCACTTTGTACTTGCATGGTTGAAATTCTCCCCCATACACAAACATCTGGACACATCCTCTTAATCATTAGCAGGGATTTTAGAATGGTGAAACCCACTTTGTGCTGTGGAGGTGGTCAATGAAATGTGTTTGCGCTCGAACTAGCAACACTGAGAATCTCCCAAGAAGCCTGGACGATGTTCTGGCTGAACAACGACACTGGCTCAGGAGCAGATCTGTGTAAACACAAACATGACCTTGTGCTTGGGTGTCGCCTGCAGCTTATCAGACAAACCAGCATATATTTGGCACTCGGCATATAACTCAGTTTTTATCAGTACATAAAAAAGAAATAAGATAAGAAAAGTCAACCTGTTGGTGGAGATATAGGAAGTCAGACACAGAATTCATCCTCTGGAGACCATGAATACCTGTACAGAATTGAATGGCACCCCATGAAGTAGATATGAATATTTATCCTCCTATAAATCCCCCTTTGAGTGTTTGATATATAATATTATGTACTTGTTAACTTCTCCAAATGAGGTTTTCACTGCTGTATATTAGCAGCATTACACGAAAACTACTGAACCACTTTTCTTGAAACGAGGTGGAGGGGTGGGGTATGAGTCAAGGAAGAACCCACTGACTTTTGGAGCAGATTTGATGAAGGGGGTAAATCAGTTTTCTGAATTTCTCAAGAAATAATGCAGAGATCTTTATGGGAAATGAAAAGATTTATGTAGAGAACTCAAATCTGTTAAAAGGTTACATTTGGTGCAGATCTAGATAGTTATCTGGATTTAAATGATGCAATAAGGTGATAAATTGTCAGCCTTGGCGGAGGTACGGCTCGCCAAGTGCTCTTCTGGTTTTATGGGATACCAAGTTGTGAGCGAGAGTATCATTAACCATCGGTGCCAAGCAGGCTGATAAAAGATCACAACTGGCAGAAATTAAAACATCAAAAACACAAAGTCGCTCACAATCACAGACACAGATATCTGTGGATCAACAGACCAGATTTTCACTTTACAGACATTTTTACTTTGATCTCATAAGCAATCGAAGCTCCTTTCTGCTTGACTTGTTCTTTTTTTATTATTTCATGATTTAATTTGAGATTCTTTCATAATTGAATATAAATGAGTTACTGATTTGTTAAGGTGCAAAGTTTCCTCCGACAGAACACATTATACAGCTTCCTGTAAATCAGACTTAAGATGACAAGACGATTTACATAAATACAAAGTCTATTACAAATGGGGCCAGCTCAGGGAAGTGGAAATCTGATTTCCAAAAAATATGTGTGGCATCGGTGTCAAGGTAAAGCAGGAGCCGTCTGTGTATATGATCTCCTGTGGTTAACGTTTAGCTCATGTTACTACTGTGATAGGAGAGTCGGAAATTGACTTTGACTGCAGCCCCTTGGTGCCGACAATAACAACATGCACACGTGTCTCTCCCTGTTTTAAAAGGACTATTCATAAGGAAATCTTGAATAGGATACATCCATAGGATACAGATGATTGTGATCTCACTATCTGAAAAAAATGTTCTTACAGCAGAGTGAACTTTCAACCATGAGCCTGCCTCACCTCCATCGTCATGCATGATAATGAAGACAGTAAAAGCTTTTTTTGTTAACGGCAATTATACTGTGGGTGTAACTGTTTCAACACAAAGTTTTATTTAATAACTGTATGAACCAGGGAAATAATTAAATACATTGATATGATAGGAATAATAAATGGTGTATAAAACATTTAAACTTCTAATAATCAGAAATGTTGATCCTTTTTCTTACCCTGCTCATAACGGAGGGTCTGTGGTAGCTGGGAATTCACAATCAGAGAAATGAAAATATTGCATAACATTGAGTTTTCTTTAATGACCCTTCACCAAGGAGGTAATGATTTTACCTGAGTTTGCATAAAAAGCACCTGACTAAATTCCACAGCACTTGGTGGAAGGATGAGACATGGGTCAGGGGAGAACTCATTACATTTCGGTGCAGATCTGGATCAGGAGGCAGATCTTCTTCACTTTCTTCAACATTGCGAGGGTGTTTTTCAACATTTTCATTGATTCAATGATCTTGATAAAGAAAATTCAGACACTTTTAGGGGACTATTATTTAAAAGTGTGTAAAAATCAAAATAATAATCCTGAACTCGCAAATTTAAATGTGACTTTTGGGGACATATGCCCTCTACCGAGTGCTTCTACTTTCTTTACTTTAACTCTGTTGTGTGTTTCATGAGAAATTTTCATGGCGCATGTGGTTTCCATTCACGACTGTCTATGAAAGGTGGGTATACTTTAACTCATTTCAAAGCCCACAGCCACGGAGCCAGTAAATAGTACTCTCACAGGTACGTCACGGTTTCTTCTATATCTTCAATTAAAGTTTAATCTTTTACAGTCGTGGCTAATTATTGCATTTCCCCTCTCTGCAGGTCCAGTGTCAAGAACAAGCGCAGCGCTACTGTGAACAACCAGTACAGGTACTTTAAAGTTGATAGTGTACTTTCTGATTGTAGAGAAAAGGGCTCCTGAGGATAGAGGTACCTTTGTGTCCTTTTGTTTATCACTGTAGTCATTCATTGATTTGCTTATTCTACCGTTTACAATTAAGTGCTCCTTTTCTGTTGACATAATTAAAACTCATTAAGTTGTTTGTATCCACATCATAGAATTTCTTATTTTACTTTTTGCTCGTCTTTTTTATTTTATTATTTTATAGCTACAGCACTTTGGTCAGCTGCAGTTGCTTTCAAATGTTGTGGCTGTTTTTTTAAAAGAAATCTATTAAAATTATAAATCATTTGAAGATTTTATTATAAAGTGAAACAAATTGAATGATATTTTTCTTTTCCCCAATGTTCCACCCTCTTCCTGATTAGAATTAAAGTTATCATTCATCATGATGATGACGATGATGATGATGATGTGGCTGATTTCTACCTAGATGAGCTGGGGACCCATCAACATGGTTGGACGTAGGAGTCTCGGATCTCTGGGTCTCTGTTCAGTTTGCCCTGCTTGGGGTCACAGTAGAAACAACATGGCACCTTATCTTATCAGTGGAGATAAACAGAATAAAGTTGGCAGTTGTTTTTTTATGATAACGTATAATCAACTGCTCACACGGTCATGTATCAGCCTGTATAATATTTCCTGTTTTTATCATTCTGTCTAATTCCCGTTTCAGTATCATTGTGATGCTGCTCAATATATTTGATCTATAGATGAGGGGGTCTAAACAGAGCGGTACGAGTTCATTCAAGGGCTGCACCTCAACACATGCAGCCTGAGGAGTTCTCTCAGTAATGTGCGATGGACTTTGGAGGCTTTATCATCATTTCTGAAATGTTTTTTTATTCCTTTTATTCCTTATTCTGTAGGGAGGAAGGGAACAGATTTGTCCTTTTTTTGTATTCATAGACCATCACAAATGTGCCTCTTTCTCCACTCTCATCTTTCCTTCTTTTTGGCAATGCTCCCCTGCTTTCCACTATGTTCGGAAATGTGGTTGTGGTTGTTTTGCAGGACCTACAGATCTTTCCTAAGTAGGGCCATAAAGAGGCGATCACAGGTAAATGACACGCAGGACGATCTACTGACAGTAAAAGTATTTCTGGACTAAGGAAGAGCCTGATGACATTTATTGTTGTTTTTGTGTTGCTTTGGATTTAAGGAGATAAAATTCAAATTCAGCTTCTGTCTCATGTGATCCTGTTAATTGCTGTCATTGTTTTCATTTTATTCATTTTTATCTTCTGTGGCTTCTATTTAAATTTTCTTTGATATCATTGCTCAATCGATTGTTTTTTTGCGTTGTAGTATTTCTTTTCCTTTGCCATGATTGTGAAGCCCTTTGGATCAACTCCATTTGTTTTTAACGTGTAATAAATGACCCTGACTTGACTTAAAAAACTACTGCTGTGCAAAATACTGACTATTTATTTTCCTATAAATTGGATCGACACAGTATTATTTATTATTTTAAATGTTATCTTTATATCTCCATTTTGTTTTAGTGATAACTTATTAACACGGTAAAAACACGCATTGTGTAACACTTATTTTATATACCATTTTTACAGACTCACATGTGTTGCAATATAATTGTGGTGTGGCGTAAAGGACAAGATCTATTAGATGATGTGACAATGAGATAAATGTATTTATTACAACTTATCTCTGTGTTTGAGCGTTTGCATTTTACATTACAGATTTGGAACGTAACAATACTGCATTTCCAACTACATTCATTAATATCACAATATCAGTTTTTACATATTTATCTATTTAGTCCTTTTTTTTTTACTTTACAAACTATTTATGCCTGTTTAGGCAACCATAGCATATATGATTACATTTGTGAGGTGGATGGAATTCATTTAATTTTACTGTACTGTACTTATGTTTAGTGTTGAATGAGAACAAAGGGAATTTTTTATTTATGTAGTTTTTAAAACAATCTCTTGTTTAAATTCTATTTATATTTGAGATTTAAACATTTAATCCAGGTACAGTCAATCCCTCAGTACACCTGCCACATTTTATGGTAGACATTCTTTGGTTAACAGTTGGACAACAAAGGAGATCATTTATAAGAGCTCTGAATTGTTTAACAATTATACAGCAGAAGAAATGTTTTGATAGAAACACAAACTGAAAATTGCCTCTGTTGCTCTGGGACATTTTAACGATTACTGTCATCATTTAGATTTTAAATTAGATATAATGTGGACTGATTGCGCAGACTAAAATTACACGTTCATGCATCCTTATGCAATAAAACAATCGTCTTTCTCAAGGCCTGGGTAAGGCGTGTCCTGATAGCTAAGATAAGCTCTGAAGAACAATGTGCTCCTTGCAAAAGAAACTTTTCATCCAGTCAGTCAGTTAATATCTCAGATGCTTATTAGCCGTTACACCCAACACAGTGCTCCTCCTCATTATACTTTTAACTCCTTTTCATTAACTCCACTGTTTTCCTTTTCAAACTCATGAATACTAAACTCATCTCTCAGATGGAAGTCTGAGAAATGGCACCTCATGTGATGCATTAACCATTATCAAGAAGGTCCCTCCTTTTTCCTTTCAAACCTGCTGACATTAGATAATATAACACGGACTGTAATGAGCTGCAGATAACTGTGGTTTGGGTGCCATAGGTCACAGGTAATACCTCAGTGTCCCCTCCCAGGAGACTTAGTTGGGGTGAAAGACTTTGAGCGAGAAACAGACAATCAGTGAGTTTCAGAGAGGACACAGCCTCTTGGAGAAAGTAGAATAACCAGACAACTACTTGCAAAAAGGGAGACTCAAGACTCAACGACTCAACAACTCAGTGACATTGTTTTAAAGTCTTGTGAAGTTTACAAAAAAGCCACAATGAAGTTGAAACTTCCAAACCCAGGACTGGATGCCCGGATCCCCTCTCATGGGGACCTGGAGAGGATGGAGAAAGAGGAGGCGGAAGGCAGTGACAGGCCCAAATGGGACAACAAAGCTCAGTACCTGCTCACATGTGTCGGCTTCTGTGTGGGACTGGGCAACGTCTGGAGGTTCCCTTACCTGTGTCAGAGTCATGGAGGAGGTAAGAGGGAAAGAGACGGAATGTTTTCAGCCTGTCAAAACACGTGAAGGGTTAAAGAGTTGCCAGAAAATGTGCTCTGAATATTAATTATCACCTATTTTCAGTAAATAAGGAGGGCTCTCCAAAAACTCTGTCTACACCAAGTGAAAATTGAATGTAATAGCTGAATTGTTTATTTTATAGATAATAAAACATGCAGTGTTTATTACAGTTTATGTATGTCTTTATAGGAATAATTCTTTAAGTAAAGTCAATAACTCACCGCACTGTTCACTTATCATGACGTGAATGTTGTGCTTCTATAGGAGCGTTTATGATCCCGTTCCTTATCCTGCTGGTTCTGGAAGGAATCCCGCTGCTGCACCTGGAGTTCGCCATCGGTCAGCGTCTGAGGAAAGGCAGCGTAGGAGTGTGGAGGTCAATCAACCCCTATCTGACTGGAGTTGGTGAGTTTAAAAAGAAAATAATAGAAAGGTTCATGTTAATGGTACTTAAAGAGTCTGTTGAATATTGTCGACATGCACGCATTTGTAATTATATAATAATAATAATATATATATGTGTGTGTAAATGTGTGGTATGAATAACAGCATATATATATTTTTATTAAGTTATATATCTATCTATCTATCTTTCTATCTATGGATGACATCTCAGATAAATTTGTCAATACTTAGAGAGAGAGATGTAATTTTATATATTATGAAAAACTGAAGATAAAGGTTTTAAAATATGTTTATTTTATTAGTATTATTTTTTCTTTTTCTTGGCTTTTATCGTTTGCTCATTGTACTGATGGTTTGCTTTGTGGTTGCAGCTTTGTTTGTTTATATGTGTATAAAAGCCAATTGTTGGCATTTTCATCAGCATCATCTTGTTTTTTGAAATTTTAAGTATTTATATGTGAACAACAGGGTGAAGGAGGAGGAGTGAACAAAACATGCACTTTTGTGTCATAGTGGATTGCAGCAGACTTTTAGTCCTGATAAAAGTAAGGGAACACAACACTTAACTGTTTCATCTATCACAGGTATTGCGTCCTTGATCGTCTCTTTCTTGGTGGGTATGTACTACAACACCATCATGGCCTGGATCATGTGGTATCTCTTCAACTCCTTCCAAAATCCTCTGCCCTGGAGCCAGTGTCCCCTCAATGCTAACAGGACAGGTATGCTATGAATTCATCTACCAAGATATCAAACAGTGGTCAAATTTCATTAGGAGGTGGCCGACAACTGATTCTTAACCGTAACAGGTCTGGTGGAGGAGTGTGCACGGAGCAGCACTGTCGACTATTTCTGGTACAGAGAGACCCTGAACACATCGGAAGCCATCGATGAGTCTGGGGGCCTGCAGTGGTGGATGGTGCTGGCCCTGGTAGCTGCCTGGAGTCTGCTCTATGTCTGCTGCATCCGGGGGATTGAGACCACCGGAAAGGTCTGCCTGTCGCATTACATTTGAGTAGTGGAGATCCCTCCAAACGTGAATTCTTAAGTGTTTTCCAATATTTATCTTTGACATTCTCTCATTTGTCAGGCTGTGTACATCACGTCCACTCTGCCATATGTGGTCCTCACCATCTTCCTCATCAGAGGTCTGACTCTGAAAGGTTCTCTAGAAGGGATCAAGTTCCTCTTCACGCCAGATGTGAGCACGATTCCAACACACCCACCACTATAATCACCACAATTAAATCTTTTTGAATATACTGATATTATCTAACTTACTTAGATACAAATGAAAGATTGATAGGAGATTGACTTGGCTACAATCAGCAGCTGGTTAGCTTAGCATAGTGGAAAAAGGGCCCACAACCCTCCAATAATCCACAAGTTGTACGATTAAACAGAGATAAGCACAGTGGCTGAAAACAAATGCATTGAAGTGTCTGAGATAAACTCTCATCACACATCATAAAAGCTAAAAATGAAAGCTCAATGACAATCCTATCTATACTTGTATGATTATAATCTAAATGCTTTTTAGATTTCCCTGACAAAGTAAACATGACTCATGTTCTTATATAAACTTCAAAATTAATAAAATGTAATTTAGCATCTTTAGGATTTATCATCCAGTTCATTTTTTATGGTCATTGTTTGTAAACTCTTCTCCTGATTTTATAGTGTCAAGAAAGATTAGACTTTGAATTCAGAAAGATAAAAGATATAATGGTGGTGCACAGTACATTTGTATATTAATTATTATCACTACCCAGGACAGTAGGAAATAGTGTTTACTGACTGTTTAAAAGAGCCATAATATAACACAATAATCTCAGCTCAGTTTTACTAAGAGTATGTATTTTGGTTCTCCTTCAGGTGAATGAGTTAATGAATCCAGCCACCTGGCTGGATGCAGGGGCCCAGGTTTTTTACTCCTTCTCTTTGGCTTTTGGAGGTCTTATCTCTTTCTCCAGTTACAACTCTGTTCAGTGAGTAACAGCCTAGTGTGCACAATCGTCTGACGGTTAACAATCTTTTTGAGCTCTTCTCCTCACACGATCATAATTTTCTCATAGCAACAACTGCGAGCAGGACGCTGTACTCATCTCCATCATCAACGGCTGCACCTCGGTGTACTCTGCAACGGTTATCTACTCCATCATCGGTTTCAGAGCCACGCAAAACTTTGATGACTGCATCGGAGAGTGAGTCGTAAACTGACCAGCAGGAAACCTTGAAAAACACAGAAACACAGCCTCTTTTAAACTGAACTCATCTCTGTGCTGTATTTGCAGCAACATTTTGAAGCTGTTGAATGCCTTCAACTATCCTGAAGACAGCATCACAGACAGCAACTACAATGAGGCCTTGATCCACCTCAACCAAACATATCCAGACGTTATTCAAGGATTAGAAATACAGAACTGTGACATGCAGGTTTTCCTCAGTCAGGTCAGTAGAGAGCATCAAAACCATTTATGGCACTCAACAGAGTCCCTTTAAATACAATCAAGACGCACCAAACAGGAATATAACCTCATCAGCAGAGGTACAGATATATTTTTCAGTCTCACAGAAATGATGATAATAGACTCTGACTGATTTAAATATTTTCAGGGTGTGGAAGGAACTGGATTGGCATTCATCGTATTCACAGAGGCCATCATCAAGATGCCTTTTTCCCCCATCTGGGCGGTTCTCTTCTTCATCATGCTCTTCTGCCTCGGCCTCTCGACTATGTTTGGCAACATTGAGGGAGTGGTGGTCCCTCTTCAGGACCTTAGACTGTTGCCTCGATCATGGCCCAAAGAAGTTTTCTGTGGTAATTTTCTTATACTTTCAATTAAAATTGGCATAGTACTTTGTCAAGTGGGATTAGAAAATCTGATCGATACATAGAGTAACCACCGTTTTATGTTTTTTTTTCCAGGTCTGACTTGCTTAATTTCTTTACTTTTCGGGCTAATATTTGCTCTACGCTCTGGAAACTACTGGCTAGCCCTTTTTGACAACTTTGCAGGCTCTATCCCCCTTCTGGTCATTGGGCTCTGTGAAATGGTCTCTGTTGTCTACATCTACGGCATAGATAGGTGAGTCTGTACAGTAAGGGATCACTGATAGGCTACAGATTGGACATTGTCATAGGTGAAGACTTTTTAGACACTCTAGGGCCTTTATCTAGTTGTGAAAGAAAAACTGAAGTGGTCTGATAACCTAAAAAAATAACTTAGTCTGTATCCAGACCAAAAGTTAATGGGTTCTCGGGTTTAGACCCCATCCTCACCACCAAGTCGGAAACTGATTTTGTAGTTTTCGAATATTTCTGCTGACAAATAGAGTAATTATAGAAAGTGATTAAATACATTTCCTGCCTCTTTGTCCAGAATGCTCACCAAAATTGAAAGGGTTCTTCCTTGGCCCATGTACCATCCTTCCACCTATACTTCTTGGGAATTGGTTCAGCAATTTTTGCATTATCCTTTTGAGAAGTCAACCAAGTAACAAACAAATGGACAGGGGTAAAAACATAACCTCTTTAGCTGAGGTAAATGTCAACAGGTGACATTGCCTACATTTGGCATTAGCTCAAAGCATTGTGTTGTTATTGTTATTGTTAGTCATAAATGCATTAAGCGGGCCAATTTATTGTATTGACACAATGAAACAGAGATAATGTTACAGGAGATCTTAGCATACATATACGGTACAGAGTGTGTTTTGTGATGTAGCAAGAACTAGGTGAGGAATGTCGAAATTTGTTTTTTTTGATTATTATATTGTTGTGTCTAGTGTTGTATTTAAACAGGAAAAATGTCACTTATGACTCAAAACAGTCAAAAGATTGCATTATGTCATGTCAAAAGGTCAGATTAGACAAAGAGTGGAGTCAAGGTCGACTTCTTTGACATTCACTAACAGGCTGCTTTATTTACTGTAACAAATAAAAGTACAAGGCCGTCTTTTATGGATGTTTTGTACATGCTCAGCTGACACGAGATCTCCCTGTGATTGCTTCTACACAGGTTTAACAAGGACATTGAGTTTATGGTTGGCCACAAGCCCAATATTTTCTGGCAGGTGACATGGAGATTCATAAGCCCACTCATTATGATCGTCATCTTGGTGTTTTACTTTGTTACCCAAATTACCAAGAGTCTCACCTACTTGGTCTGGGACCAGGAAGCGGTAAGTGTGCTTTTTGATTTAAAAAGTAGCAGCTTAAAGGCTTTTTAGATGTGTGGTTTTTTACCATCAAAATGTAATATTGATGGTGGTCGAAGTCCATTAAGAGGAATGTGCTACAACTTGCTTACCATTAATAATTTATTTTCAACATGATCAGTTGCTGTAAATTATTATTAGAGAAATTATATAATTTCCTCTGACCTGCAGGAGAAATTCCCAACCCTCGCCCCTCGTCCATTTCCATCCTGGATCTACATCATCATCTTCATCCTGGCTGGAATCCCCAGTTTAACCATCCCAGGATTTGCCATCTTCAAATTCATCCAGAGGAAATGCTGCAAGCAAAAGGACTACAGTGAGAAGACAGTGAACAGCGTCTCCGAAACTGTGACAATGAGCGAGAAAATTAAGTTTTAAATTGCTTGAAAGTATTTAAAAACAAAGCGAATTGAAAATGGATTGTTGTTCTATTGTTTGTATATACAGTTATACCTTTTGCGTTTCTTTTTTCTTGCCATGTACAGTGAAAGAAGAGCAGACTAGAGACTGCATACATTTGACAGCATTTTCTGTAAAATACTTGTTTTGTAACTAATATGTTATTATTTTTGTCATATTAGTTTCCTGTTATTGTGTCATGATTTTTACATTTGACATTTGGAGAAATAGACTAATTTAAATGCTTACTGATAGTCAGATGAGTTGATTGATACAGCTCTTGAATAAATTGGACACAAAGGAGAGCAGCTGGCTTAGCTCTCACAATCAAAGATCATTGTTAGTAGTTGAGCCAAGCTAGCTCCATGTTTCCAGTCATTCTGTCTAAACCTGCTGCTAGCTGTAGCTATTCATAGCTACTTAGTGAAAAGATAATCTCTATAAAACCACTTTGCCTCTTGCCTTGTATTTCAGGGTACAGTGTGTAGAATTTAGTGATATCTAGTGTTGAAGTTGCATGTTGCAGCTGAACACCCCTCACCTCACCCTCACCTTCCAAACATGAAAAATAACCTGTGGTAGCCTTTAATTGTCATAAAAACTCAAAAGGTGTTTTAGTTTGTCCAGTCTGGACTAATGTAAAAAAC